GTGAACAGCAGCTGCATTCTGCAGGGCCCCTGTAACAAAAAGACACAAATTTGAACAGATTAGCTGCAGTCATAGCATTGTGGAGCCAAAGCCATGTGCACAGACAATCACACTAAGTCTCCAGCCTTCTGTGTTATGGTGGGATAATTATTGGGAAGGGTTTGGGCTGATTTAGCCCCTAAATGGCAAAAGTGAAACCCAAAGTTCAATCGTATGCATGCAAATTAACAAAATCTGAATCAACTGATCGTACATCAGTTAGGTATGCATGTGTGCAGCCACACACGGTGTAGATTGGTGGGTAATGAGCCTGCCCATTATGACACGGTTCATTACTAATGTATGTAACTCTAGTATGTGCTGCCACACCCACCTGCCTGCTTCATTAAGGTTTGCCTGCAGGATTGAAGTAAAGCGAGAACAAAACAGACTCTCGGCACTAGTGATAAGAGTACTCGAATGTGCTGGCTGATAGATTAATAAAATGGGTGTTGGTACCATTTTGATAGTGTGTTAATCTTCTTAACTACACATGAATAATACATGAATGTCAAGGTATATATACACGAAGGTGTGATATGAATGTATGTGCAGCAGGTGTCTCCTGGAATTCCGAGACTGCAATCCCATACCACCTGGTGGAGGTTCTCCCTTCCAAAGAGAGTCATATCTACGGTACACTATACTTGTAACTATTGCCACTGACACACACACACACACGAAACTGTGTGGCGGGGAAATTTTTGTTGGGTACATTATTGTAAGAAAATAAACATTGGCAGCACACGCAGACACTATTAATGCATTATGGAAGGGCATGGACAACACGTCCCATGAAGTATAATTATAGCTACCTACGAAAATTTGACTACCTCATGGTTTTGGGTCGACTATACGAAAAGTCTGTCCCTACAAAACTTTCCCACTACAGTATATAGGCTAGTGGCAGTGCACTAGTGAAGGAAGCGGCTGCAGACTGCCTCACAACAATGCTGAGTCAGCATCTTGGCCACATAGCTAATTCTCTGAGGTGAATAGAGCAACACTCTCCTCAGTAAGTTTTTCTCGTGTATTTTTTGACTGTACTTACTGTTTTCTGTGCAGACACCTTGCAGCGTTCTATACCATTGTTCCTGGCTAATGTTCATAGCTACGAACTATTCTGATTTGTATAACCCAGCACCTGTACCAATCGTTTAATACGACAGATGTCAGTCCAGCACTTCACAGTTGAAATATCATAAGTTAAAACACAGCAAGAAACTATTCACTATTTTGTCATTTTGCAGGACGTTATAGACTGTGCCATGTATAAGGGTTGCTACATTTTACACTCCGCTAGTTTGCGGGCGGGGACGCGGAGCCAGCCCTCGTCATGGTCAGTCGCCTTATGCGCATGCGCAGCTGTCGCCCCGCGAAGATGCACGAAAAGGGCGACGACAGCACGGATATTTTTGTCTGCGGCATACAAGATGTTCTACTTCGCGCTACTTACATTCACCACTTTTGCAACGACGTGTAAGTATACATTTCTGACATACCCAACATCAGTTGGAATGAATCACAATTTTCTTCCAGTGGCTACTGTTGATCTGGTGGTAGTTGGAGGCAACAATGCTCTCTGTGTGGGTATGAGTGTCACACTCCAGTGTACAGTGATGGGAGGTGTCCTCACCTGGGAGACTCCTGAAGGAGCACTCAACTTCATCCGAGGAAGACAAAATACATCTTATCAAGGCTCCTACTATGGCCAGCTCATGGAATCAAATGATACTCATCTTATTTCAACATTGAATTTCACCTTTACAACTGAGATTACCATCAACTGCTCTGATACAAGTTCAATTGCTGGAACTACTGTCATTGTTGAAGGTACACCTTTCTTATATACACACATTTGAAAGTACCTAGCTATACGCCTTAAAAACAAATCTTGTGGCTTTTAAAAGCCTAGAAAACTGTATCAACCATAATTAAATCTCCTGATGACAGGTCCACCAAGTGCCCCGGATCGACCACTGACGGCCCTGGAAAGGATCAGGAGACTCAACAAGACATTCTCCTCAGTGTCTGTGGTGTGGAACATTCCTGACACCAACAATGCCCACATCAGTAGCTACGTGGTGACAGTTGATCCTCCCATTCCCCTGCCAGCCAGTGGAGTCATTGCTGCAGGCAATCCTCTCTTCCAGTCACGACAACTGACCCTCACACTCCTCCATGGCCAGCAGTACTACATCACAGTCACTGCCAGGAGCTGTGGTGATTCTGTGGAAGGTCCTGCTAGCTCTGCACTCAGAGTTAATGTACCAGGTTAGTTTTCCGGCAACTACAGGTGTTTAGTGAGCCATTAAATCTTCCAGGACCTCCAAAAGTGGTAAGATGCACAGCCGTCCCTGTCTATGACTATTACTCTAATAACCTGAAAAGAATCGAAATAGAATGGAACCCAATCGAGGTAGGTCTATCACGTCATGATCTCCACCAACTAAATGTGATGTTTTGGTAGGAGGCTGAAGAAAATGTTACAGTTAACATTTCAGCAGCTGTTGTGAGCTATACAATCAGCACTGTTCCCTTTGGGGCTGTGTCTTCTGGTATCGATGCAACAATAGAGGCCAGTGATCACAGTAGCTGCAGTACTTCATGCAAGTATTGTGTTAAGAACCTTACTGTGATGTCAGCACCTACCTACACGATTTTCATTACTGCAAACGACCTTCTGTCTGATGAATACACTGAAAAAACAGAATGTACAGATGGACCGATCAGTAAGGACTATAATTACAGCTGGAAAGGAGAATTATTGCATTGCCTAATAAGCCTAGAGCACCTACTAAAAACAAAAGTGAAGCAGAAACATAGCTCGACGTATCATTGTTTTGCATTATTTTTGTTTTTTCAGGTATCATAAACAATCTCACGCTAATTGACACAAAAAGTATCTTCACCGCTGCTATGAATACTTTGTCCCAGCCTCTCTTAAAGTTCAGAGGTAAAACCCATTTGAACTGCACTCACTCCATTATGCTATGGGAAAATCTTAGTTTTCTATACAGAAAGTGTTGGGGAAACAGAGGAAACTGTTGCGGTGTTTCTGACGACCACTACTGCACCCGAGGCAGCTCTGACAGTTGTTGCTCAAGGTGGAAAACATGATGTTGTGGTAGAAGGAAGTTTTGAACCAGGTTTGCAGTTTGGTGATTATTGTTTCCTTGTTTTAGGTGACAGTATACAAACACAGAGACACATATGAAAACGAACCAAAACTTGCTATGTCATTTGCAAAGACGTATTAACCTATATCAAACCATGCTGTAGCTCTATATCAAATCTTGTCTCTAGCTCAAAGCCACCCGTGAAATCCGCTTAAAAATGCTTGTCCAACCATTCCTTAGACACAACACTCGAGTTCAACTGGGCAACATGATGCGATGGGCATCACTCTTTCTTAAATAGCTACGCGCAAGTGTATAAAAAGTTAAAAAGTAGCTGGTGTTTCACTTCACAAAATGCAGAGAGTATGAGGATAGAAGACTTTGAGAAAGCCTTGTGGCTATAGATGCACTGGGACATAACTCTTTCAAAAACTTATCCCCTATCCTTTTTTGTTTTTCAAACATGCACCTTTCCAGTAATGTCTCATTGATTATATTTAATGCAGCCTCACTTTCTACAAGCATCTACCACACGCCTACCGCGTGTCCATCTACTCCTCCTATAGCAGTAGCTTCTACCCCGCCCGCCCCTATAGCAGTAATTGCAGTTGCTATCTCAGTTGGCACTGTACTGTGCATCATCAGCTGCCTCATTGGAGTATTGATCCATCGTGTCCTAGTCTCTCGCTCCTGCTGCAGAAAGAAACAGACAGCCACAGACCAGCCACAGCACCTCTACGCTGAGGTCCTCTGCGTGATACTGGCACGGAGAATCCTGGTTCCGATCCCAGTGGCAATAGGATGTGAGCGACCTAGAGGTAATGTGTGAATGGCCATGTTTTGCATCAGGAGTGCATGTCTCATACACCATGTGATGGCAGGACGAAGGAGCACGTAAGTGCATGGATTCATTTAGGTGCAGTCTAAGATCCTGACTAAAAGCACGTCCATTGAACTTACTTAAGCTTACTCATTTATGGCGGCAGCAGGGGTGACAGTGATGTCATAATTACCACAATACTATACTAGCTACTACGTCAACAAATCCTAAACTCAGGAAGTAATAGGTTGCTGTCTATTTCAATCAAGTAAGGTGAAATCTTTTCAAACCCTAAGAAAGAGTTATCACACACATCATCCCAATTCCGAAGTAATAAAACATTTTCCTTCAGTCAACTAGATTAAAGAGTTATTTTCCTGAGGTTATGCCAGTTCGTATCTTACTTCGTAAGTCTCGGTATCATTCTCAGTGGCGTCTGCCAGAGTTGCAACAATATATGCATCATTCAGAGAGGTAGTGATGATTTCCCGGTGTACCCCAAGATTCATGATTGGTGGATATGTGTAAGACTCATTTGGAGAAGTGATGATCGCGTTATCGGTAATTGGCGGTTGTCGAGGTGAGAGTGGTTTAGTCACAGTTACTCCATCATCTTTAGAACCAACTGTGGCATAGACTGGGTCATCGCTTCGTGTCTTTTGCTGCCGAAACACCCTTTTTGAGTAGCAAATGTACACTAGAATAGCCGCAACACAACTTGTCACTACTATTACGATACTGGAAACACCGATTATAGCTCCAAGTACAGGGAGACTTATTGCTTCGTCATTTACAGTGGTTGGTGTTGGGTCATTTCCCTGAATGGTAATTGTGACTGCAGATGGACTTGTTATCCTGGCACTAGGTTCTGTGCCTCCACTGGTGATGGATATGGTAAAGTGTTCATCTCCTTCATCCGCAGCGTCCCTCAGTATGAGGATATCTATACACCCAGTGGACGTGTTTTGACCTTCACTGAACACCACTTGAAATGGTTCAGGAATAGAGACATCCTCAAGGGTGGCTACGGGGTAAAATTACATACAGATCTTCACAGCAAATGTTTAGATTAGCTTACATGCTGTGCCGTCTTGTGCAGCGAGGCCCACTGTGAGAGCTGTTTCAAAACCACCACTCACCCCAGACTCCACACAGACACTGACTGAAGTCTCGTTTGCTATGAGCTCACTTGTCACAAATCTTACTTCCGCATCTAAAAGGGTGAATTTTTTTTACTTCACCACGATTCAAGATTTAAAATGAGCAAGTGAGCTATCATTTCTTTCACGACAAGATAGTATGGGTGCTAACCATTATCAATGATGTTGACGGTAGCAACTGATGGAGTACCCAGTGCCCAGTTTGGCTGAACGTGAGAGATGCTCACAGTGAACTCGTGGTCTCCCTCCAGAATCTCGTCCTCCCGGATTGCAAATGTGAGACACTTGACCAGTGGACTGTCTCCTTCAGTGTACATGATGTCCAGTTCACCACCAGAGTGTGAATAATCCTCACCCATAACTACAAGAATTCAATGCCGTCAATATCATCAAATTCGACCTTCTTACCTGCTCTTCTGTCGTTGACTTGAAGTGTAATTGACAGCGTAGCAGTGATGCTTCCAGTAATACCAGGACTTACACATACTTCTGCAGTTCCATTAGCTTCAGACACACTGACCAGTTCCGTGATAGTAACACTTGCGTCTGTACGTAAGAATCCTAATATTGGTAATTTGCTCAACCTATAATAATGTATATACCTCCAGTATCATTGATGAGAACTCTGGTGAAGCTGGGGTCTCCCAAGAGTGTGTACTCAGTCGAAATTAAAGTCGGATGAATGGAGACTACGAAATCTTCTATGGTGTCTTCAAAATCGTTATCGTCCACAACAATCAATGTATGGCAGCAAGTTGTTCCATTGTCATCTCCCTCCACAAATACTGCTCTAATGAAGATGAAGCTCGACAGTTTAAAGCCAGGAGCCGTGAAATCAACACCAAATGCTGTATAAAACGGCATTAAAGGTGAGCTTTTCTGGGACTAATAATAGCTTACTTGCATTGATACTTCCAATGATGAGATTGAACGACACATTGTGTTCAAGTACCGTCTGATTGTTAAGCAGCAGAAGTTCGACACATACATCTACAGTTTCTCCTTCTCTTTCAGTCAGCACTATCTCTGGAGTCACAAACTGAATTGAAGAGGTGATCCCTGCAGGAAAAATAAAGTCCAGGATTGATGTATTCTGTGATGTCTGTGCATTACGGCTATTTATTTTGACTGAGGCTACTTGCTTCATGTGAAAACTTACTTTCTCGATCTCTTATTGTAACAGTTGAAGCACTGTTTTGTACATTATAGGGGCACTCTGTTGTTACATCAGTAATTTTCACAAGGAAAGTCTCTGGGACCTCAGTAATATCATCAAGAACAGTAGCCACCAGTACACTTGTACTGAGACCAGTCTCTGGTGTGAAAGTAAGCACTCCATCTGGACTGGCTGACAATCCCATGTAATCAGCTGGTTCGGCTATTGTATGTAAAACACATAGTTTGTATAAAACTTTAATTTTTCGTTTATCTGCTCACTTGCAGTCATATCCATTGTTGAGAGGTGTACTATGACGTCACCACACATCAGTTTACCACTGATTAGAACCAGACTAATTATAACTTCGGCCGGCCTCCCTTCCACTGTCGATGCAGCATCAGCTAAAGAAACCCCAACCACATCTGAGTAGGAAAAAACAAACAATAATCCCAAACCGAACGAATTATGGAGTCCATATATACCGTCATCAGTGATAGTAACAAGACTGCTTCCTAATATTAGAGTCCCTGCAGTGGCATTGACTAAAGTAAGGACGAGAGTGTGAACTCCCTCCACATCATCATCTTGTATAGTTGCCAGGGTGAAGCACTGTGGACTTCCACTCATGGTGCCAGGAGTGAATGAGAGGGTCCCAGGAGTTGGGTAGAGGTAGTCCATACCTAGAGCTGGGTGGATGGAAAGTAGCTAAGTAGTAGCTTTCAAATATCTTAGCTCTAGAGTATAGATGACGTGGTGCCTTAATGAATGTCCTTCCTAGGCACGTAGCTAGCAGCTGGCTTATCTACATCAAACCTGTCTTAGGGTCTTGTGAGTCATCAGGGAGTATGTCGACAGTGATGTCAGATGTCAGGATCTCTGAGAGTTGAATGACGACACAAATTGAGACACTGTCACCCTCCCCCAATCCATATGTTGATGATTGAAAATGTAGACTTGTCTCTACATTGTGTAATTTAAATCACCTGTAACTAAGTTTCAGGGCAATAGCTAATGACTACTAACAAACCTGCTGTGACGTTCTTTACCACTAGCAGACATAGAAGAAAAAATAATGTCGCCACTTCTCTTTTCCCCATCTTTGCATTTAGGCCTACAGGCATACTACTAGCCTCATGCTAATCCCTGGAATGTGTAGCTATATAGTCAATATCATTTTAGGGAATCCAACTAATGTAGTAGTATTATGTTCAGATGCCTTAAAGCTGCTCAGTCTGGCAGTATGTTGGTCTATTTGGTGGGCATTGCAAGCATATTTATGCCCCATGAAGGTTGAAACTTTATACATAATTGGATTCCTAGATCACCAAGGACACTCCTTGATCTTCATGTTGACCATGTAAACAGAATAGAGCAAATGACTGCAGAAGCTTCAATGCACTGTGGCTATGTGGAGTCTTCAATCGTGATGCACTGCACAACTAACTGGCTCAGTTCATGGTTCTTGAGGACCTCCATTAGCAATGATCAGAGGAAACTAGCTGGGTTCCCTTCAACTGTCGATGTAGCTAACATTAGCTAGAGGCACAGCTAAGAGACGAAAACTATTACTTGCCAAAAATCGCACGAGCATAATATTCGAGTCCATGCGATCATTAGTGATATATAGTAACAAGACTACTTTCCGCTGTTCCACTCGCACATGCAGTCCCTCCAGCAGTGGCATTCACTAAAGCAAGGTCACAGACAGAATTATTTATCTCAACAGACATGCAGTTGAGACTTTGTGGCTGGTAGCTAGCCACCACCGTTCCAACCTTTAAGTCTGTGTTTGTAGTGTGGCCTGAATACACAGCAAACAAGAAAGATGCATCGAAACAAAACTTATTCAAGACCCTCTTCATGATTGCAAATTTATCACAATTGAGACCCAACAAGTTTAGTAAAGGTGGATGTCTGCTGCACAGTACTCAGTTTGGATAGAATATTAGGGAATTACTTGAAGGTAGCCATCAGTTGATGGTTCGGTGGTTGACATGTTCTCTTCCAAGGTAGCAGGCAATTCTTGAAAACCAGAGTAGGCCTCGTTCCTCAAGGTTGTAATGACACTCTGGACCATTTCGTGATCCTGTGATGATGATTCATTGACATTGCTTGTTGGATTAGCATAGGATTCATTCCAAGAGGTGGTTATTGCCAGGTCGTAGACCACAGATAGCGGACTGTTGTTGTTAGCTTGGTAGGCTTCATTTGGAGCTGTTTGAAGAGGAATATTTTCTGGTAGCTCATTTCGAACAACCGAGCTACCACTCTCCCCTTGCAGGTGGTATGCACTGTCATTGCTGACAATATCATCATAGAGTGGATCCTCACCAAGGTTTTGCTGTGTTTTTTGATGCTTTGAGTGGCATCGGTAGAAAATGGCTGCCAGGAGGCAGCTAGTCCCAATTGCAATGCTGCATAGGGTAGGTATAACTATGGTCCACTGTAGACTTAACACCCCACTTTGATCATCACTCCCAGCTACAGATGTACTGTCTTCAATAGTGATTGTTGCCACAGAAGGATTTCGTATCCTCGCATGCGGTTCGGCCCCTGCACTAACGATGGTGAAAGTGAAAAACTCCTCTCCTTCCAGTTCTGTATCACTTATGACAGATATGTTAGCACAGCTGGTAGACTCCATCTGTCCCACTTCAAATACCACTTCCAGTAGTTGAGGGATGGCTACATCCTCACCCACTACTGTATGGATTTGATTAGCAGTAAATAAGACTGGATATAAGAGAAAGAATCTCACTTGCTGTGCCGTCTTGTGCAGCGAGGCCCACTGTGAGAGCTGTTTCAAAACCACCACTCACCCCAGACTCCACACAGACACTGACTGATCCACTCTCCTCTCCAATCCTGTACTCATCAGTTACAAATCTAACCTCTGCATCTGGTAGAAACAAGAACAAATCTCTATGTTTTAAATGATATATAGCAGAGTGTGGGTTCAAACCATTATTGTCCTCAAGAGTGAGATTTGTGCTGTGAGGGTCTCCAATGACGACAGCTGAGGAAGGCTTCACTGACACAATACTCACTGTGACCTGTTGCGATTCCTCATACACGTCATCATCAGTGACAGATATCTGAACTCTGTTAGTGTCATTGCTACTGGTTCTGCCACTGACAAACGTGAACACGGACTGGGAAGATATGATGATGTCATCTGTTGAGGAAGTAGATTTAGATTTCCCAACATGTGTGATAATTCCGAGAAAAGATGCCTCATACTAAGCTATCGCAGAGCTAATGAAATTCATGCCCAAAGCTAATAAGTCACTTGCCATTATTAGAGCCTCCAGTGATGATGTGATCCAGTGTTACCTCGATATCGCACCCTAAACCTCCTGCTGGAATGGCACTTATTTCAAGGAAAAGAAAAGTCGTAAAACCTTCTGAGAGTACGGACTGGACAGCTGGTTGCATCGTGACCACTGCTGGCTCTTCTGCATTGTGGAAATACTATGTGTGAGTTTTTGTTTCAACCATAAACCCCTAACTATTATCAATGATGTTGACGGTAGCAACTGATGGAGTACCCAGTGCCCAGTTTGGCTCAACGTGAGAGATGCTCACAGTGAACTCGTGGTCTCCCTCCAGAATCTCGTCCTCCAGGATTGCAAATGTGAGACACTTGACCAGTGGACTGTCTCCTTCAGAGTACATGATGACCAGTTCACCACCAGTGTGTAAAAAATCCTTTCCCATAACTACACAGATAGGCAGGGGTTTAATTCCACGACTGGTTTAACAATGTGTGTTTACCAGCTTTTCCATCATGAACCTGAAGTGTAATCGACATAGTTGCATCCATTCTTCCACTAATACCAGGGTTTACACAAACGTCTGCAATTCCAGTACTCTCAGATCCATCAGTTAGCGTAAGAGTAACATTAGCATCTGCATTAACACATCTGAGCTCTTAAACACAGTTCAGTGCAAAATACTCTTGTATCATTTATTAACCCTCGGCGCGCATGCGCGCGCATGCGCAGCGAGGGTTACAGTAGTTGGGTTTGTCTGTTTGTTGTCTGTCTGTTTGTCTGTTACTCTACATCTCACCTCTCGAATGTCTGTTCGTCCCAGAAACGATACCATCTACCCAACGGGCGACGAAGGTCAGAAAATATGTGGGGTTTTCTCTGAAAATGCTTCGTTGCAAAGCTAGAGCGCTTCCACCATTGTACGGCTAATGCGTAGTCGGCCATTTTTATCGGTGTATCTTGAAGGCATAAGAAGTCACAACGAAGGGCGTGTGTCGACTCCCGCATGCTATCTACTACTGTAGCTTGTCCGTGTCAGACTCTCCGCGAGCTACTAGCGTGGATACCACGAGTAAACGCATACTAAAAGCCCAGCCCATCAATTAGTGGTACCGCGCGTGCGCAGTTCGCCGAGGGTTTACACTTCAGTGCTTTTCATTAACCCTCGGCGCGCATGCGCAGCGAGGGTTACGGTAGTTGGGTTTGTCTGTCTGTCTGTGTGTGTGTGTCTGTCTGTTACTCGTCATCTCACTTCTCGAGTGTTCGTTCGTCTCACAAAGGATACCACCTACTGAACGGGCAATGAAGGTCAGAAAATATGTGGGGTTTTCTCTGAAACTGCTCCGTTGCAGAGCTAGAGCGCGAAAAAGCTAATATGCAAATAGGCAACGGACGGGACGGCTTACCACGGTCTGATCGATCCGCGTGCTCTGCGTACCTCAGAGGCACCAGAAGATGCAACGCAGGGCGTGTATCGCCTCTCGCATGCTATCTAGTAGTGTAGTTAGCCCGCGTCAGACTCTGCGCGAGCTGGGAAGAGACCACGAGTAACAGCTAAAACTAAACCCAGCCCATCAATTAGTGGTACGGCGCATGCGTTTACTTACGCGTGCGCGTCACAATGCGCCGAGGGTTTGCACTTCAGTGCTTTTCATTTCTACGGTGGTTAAGACAGGTAGGGTGTTAAAAACATTCCCACGAATAACAATAGAGGCGTCTATGATTGCTGTAAAGACCTCTATCCTTTCAAAGTCACTATGATCGATGATTCTGATCATAACACAGTCTATCTCTCAGTCTTTGTCTCCCTCAATGAATGATACTTGTGTTGAGTCGGGCACTTCATAATCAGTGCCTTGGGCTACAAATAAAGTACGTATAAGTCTTTCTTATCATGTGTACACTGCCTTACTAGTCTCTGGTACACTCAACAGCTCTATATAGAGGACTGTGTTAATCATCACCAGTTGTTAAACAAACTGTGTCATTATGGCACATGATGTAACCACTGCTAGGTAGCTCAGCATAGCTCTCAGTTTTTCTGGACACAACAGCAGTAACACTAGAGCGTAGACCACTGATTTCACCACAGGGACTCTCATGAACTGTTACTACATAGTAGCAGCAGTGGTGCAATGGAATGAACTACATAATGATTGGAAATAGCATAACAAACCCGAAATTCTTTTGTCTCACTATGCTGTTTCTATGACGCTGCATTGTTGGTGCCGTTACCAGTTAAGGCAACAATTAATATGGAACACCCCAGCAGATTATCTGTATTTCTCTGCAGAGAATTCATGTATGCAGCTGCTTGTTCATTGCGCACCACTAAAATAGTGAGCTTATGTAAGTCATCATCTTAACGTCGCTATCAATCCTCATTCAATCCATGAAAAAAGAACCAGCTTCCTGCATGCTCCACAGATCAAAGCACCAAAACGCTCATTTCGATACTTGCTAGTCCGGATGAGAGTTATATGAGTTCGGTTGATGAGGAATCAAAGAGCTCACATGCAGAGATCTGCTGATTCCGGATCCATAGTGTCTCCTAATAATTATAGGTATATTATAGTCAATCTGGGAAGAAGATATAATATAATGTTCCTTCCCCAAGTCGGTGAGTGTGCGACAATGTCATTAAACCAATTGCCATTGTTACAGAGTTGCGATGTGATAATTATGATACATACCTGTTGTTCTTATAATTATACAAGAGTGAGCCATTAATGACAAATTACAGTGCACAAAGGACACAAAACACCAGAATAATAATTATTATTCTGCAAGGGTTTGATGATAAATCTACCTGAACCAGTGTAACAATGTGAGAGAAAAGCTAATCTAAGATTCTGGTGGTGCTGTATGTCTCGCTCCTGCAAGATTCTTCTAAACTGTCTTGACGTGAGTCATTTGGTGGATGTGGGGAAGGGGTAGACCCTGCAGTTCTTGGCTCGTTAGAGTAGCTCACACTCAACGGGATCTTATTAGACGCTGTCTCGTCACCTCTGGAACCCACACCACTAGCCCCGGCACCTGTGGGCGGGCTACAATTAGAGCTACTAGATAACTGTGCTCGGGTAGAGTTTGTGTGTCTCTCATCGTTGGGCGAGAGAGTCTGCTCCAGGTCAGAGTACGAGGGGGGGTAGGACGGAAGAGGGCGGAGACGGCTGCTGAAAGGTCGTGGGGTCGGGCGGAGGAGGGGTGCCCACTGCACGAGGCTCCTCGGTGTATCTGAGTACCGCCAACACTATCTCAGGTTCCCCAAAGGCATCGTTTGAGCCACCCGAACTCGTGCTCTGAGGTTTCCCGTATCGTTTCAGTGGAGGTGAGGCATTCTCAAATGTCGCTTTGGCGTGCCCTTCCTTGCCCATTCGGACACGCTTCCTCCAGAAGACGACGATGAGGATGCAGGCCGCTATAATAACCACCGTCAGTCCCACAGCCACGCCCAACGACACGATTACGATGAAGAGGAAGGTCCTACCATCGTCAGAGTCCTCTGTCAAAAACAATTGTGTAGTGTTAAAAAAAATCATCATGCGCAACAACCTGGTAGTAAAATGGCATTAAAGAGAAGTACTGTAGGCTAGGGATTGTATTGTATGCACCATACTTCTTTTGTGAAGCTATGTGTTAACAATTGGTGCTGTAGGATGCATGCACTAGACTCATTCTCATTCCTACAAACAAACAAAGGCCAGAGCACTAGTAGTCTACCTAACTACACTATGACTGCATGCAAAACTTGCTATAAGCATGGTGTGTTGGTGTATACCAGTGCAGAGAGGTTGACTTCCCGTCCAGAGTCCCAGATCTGAACACAGCCTCGTTTTGTTCCCAGTGAGGGTAAACCCCTGCCGACACGAATAATTAACCTCAGAGTCGGTGGCTAATCCGGTCTTGGACACCATGCCGTTATCGGGGGGACTCAGTGCACTGCAGCCAACACCTGTGTCACATTGCATAACAGAGGAGGTGAATAAACAAAAGTGACAGTATATAGTCCTAAGCTTCAAGTGACAACTGTATATAGTCCTAAGCTAATTAGGCAAACCCTAACCTAATTAGGCAAAGCGTAATGAAGAAAACTCTCTCACCAACAGTATGCTGGTAGTAGGCGACCTGACTGGCCCCGGCACTGTTGACTGCTGCCACGCCCACCTTCACCTCCCCTCCCACCGTCACACCCGTCACCGTGTACCCCGAGACCACACCCCCCTCGGCCACGGGCACCACCTCCGACAGAGCTCGCTCCTCCCCTCCTGACGAGGTCCCCGGTGGCCCATAGTAGATGATGTAGCTCATTAGTGGAGTCATTACCTCGGGGTCGATTGGTGATGGCTGCAGTAGATAGCAGAGAGTATAGTACATAATGAAGTAGCTATAATATGGCAAAGCTTACGACTGATTATGGCAAACAGGAGTAAGATGAGTTAGTGTGTAAGGCTGGGACTCACTTCGTAGCACCTCTCTTACAATCAACATACGGTTAGCAATGGCATAAGAACAAGATTGTTCAGCAAACTATGCCCGCTTCGTACAGAAAACTTTGCAGGGTGGGCTGATGCATGCACTCACAGTCCAGGAGATGATGAGACTGGTACTGGTGGACCCAATGACTGCTTCCACCGTCACATCCGTGGGCGGTCTCGGAACTAGAGTATGGAACAGAGACAATGCAACCTCAGTACACTCTTTCCACATTTCGTTATGTCTTGACATTATTTTAAGCCTCATTTTCCACCCCAAGTGTTCGAACTACCACAACTGGAACAGGGTAATGTGTACGTGACGTGACAGAGTGCAATGTTTGTAGCTTGCATTCAGAAAACTCCCTGTGCCAAGTCTTCACTCGTGGGAATCTCAAAGAAAGCATATGGCAACAACTGTCACAGCCACGCCGCAGAAACATGCACCAAGTGTGATTACACCAACAGAATCTCTATATACACACTGATCTAAGTTGAATGATACTAATCTTCCAGTATCACAGAATTTGTGTTGTGTGGACAAGAAGAATTTCATGTTACCATTACGACGGCACTGACCTTCGGGGGAGAGGGTCATGACCGTTTGGTACTCTGAAAATTTCCCCGCTCCGTTGGAGTTTACCCCGGCCACGGCAACGAGGTAGGCGGAGCCTGGGTCGAGGGGAGACAGCTGGACCCAGGTGCGGTTCTGGTCCACATTCACTTCTAACTCACCACTGCAGGGTGTGTGTGTGGGGGGGTTGGAGTAAGAGTAAAGACCACTACCCACATTCCAAACCACATTTGAGCTCAGTAATAACCAATGGCAGGGAATGCCTTATCATGCAGTATAACAATAATGCTCACTAATAAAAAGCTGATACAGTACTTTAAAAACAATTTTCCCTCTGAAACACTACATTCTGCCGGGAAAGAAAAATGACTCCCAAGAGCACTCAGTGTGCAATTGAAACCGGGAAGATGAATGGAATTACACAAGTGGAGAAAACACCCAACTAGAAACTGAATAGTGTGTGTCCACAAACAACCATTTCTGTGGGAGGGGTGACAGGGGGGGAGGGGGGGACTTGCCTGCCAGAGTCCACAGGGAGAACCGAGATGTTGTAGCCAGTTATGGGAGAGTCGGAGGGGACAGGGGGTTCGTCCCACTCTAGAGCCACGGAGTACAGGAACTGGTCCGTCAGGTCCACCCCACTCACTGCCAGCGGACGACCATCTGCACATTACATACGTACACAGTACATGATTAGTGGTATAATGCACACACAAGTATGTATGTGCAAGTCTTAACCAAACACTGTGCCGATGAGTTTCATCGCATCACTAGTCAACTGAAAATTCCTCCTCCGATTTCAAACAGGCTCCAATAATAAGCACAAGTGTTTCCAAGAATGCTGCTCTCTAATTGGCAGTGGAGAATAATTACAGGGACTCACCTCCCACAAGGATATGAGTCTGTCTGGTGACAACCGCCGGGTGGTCCTCTATCTCGACACGACACCAGTACCTCACTCCCTCGTCGTCCGCCTGCGTCCTCTGCACCACCACTCCATCCACCACCCCGGTCCTCCGCCGCACCTGGTGTCTCGCCGGTAAACTCCCCGTAATCAGCGGCTCCCCGTCACGTATCGGGGTGGCATCAATTGGAATGACGTCCCCGGTCTCGGTGACACGTACAGCCTCGCAGGGTATTTCGGTGAGTCGGCCTTCATGGCTGTAGTAGTAAGGCTCTGGCTGCGTCACAAAGTACACGGCTGCATAGTGAGAGAAGAGAGAGAATACCTTCATCTCTCCCGCCTACTGAACAAGTGACACAAGTCTGTATATACTAGAATGAATGCAGCACATTTCCAGCACATAGATGTGAGTGAAAAATTTCAGCTCATTACGGTACAGTGATAGCCATATTAACAACAAACTGAGTTACATAACATAGAACATTACACAACAGGGTTCAGCCAGAAGGAAGGGGGGTCGACTCACTGCTTGCTACACACTTTCTCAGACCACACCATGCATATTGCTGTGTACTGTACTAATGTATTACCCCTTTGGCAGCAACACATAGGAAGTTGTTGGGGAGATATTAAGTCTGTGTGAACCGTCCATCCCTACTTCCACACACCCCCCCTAGTTGGACAAGGACACCTCTCTGCCCAGGCCAACACCCTGCATGAAATAACTTCCCTTTGTGGTGTAGCTTGATTTGAACTTCCCCACCACTCAGTCAGTCCACCACAGCTGTAATACTGCATGTACACAGTTATGTACACAGCTTTTAGACTTTGATTTTATCGTGTTCTGGTGAACTTCCCACTACCTACCTAAGTACATAGTCCTCCATACATGCTACATAGTGTATTCTAGTATTATATACTCCATACAGGCTATATGTACAGTACATGTGTGCATTAATGGATGCTCGTCCCACTCAGTCCTTTTGGCCGCAGGGTGTTGCTCAAATCATGTCCCACAAATTGGCCACATCCTCCGCCTACTCAGTGATCTACAATCCTTGACTTACTGGAGCACCGGTATCGTCGTAGTATAATTATAGTTAAATGCTGGAGTGCAGGTAGTGGTTGGGGGATAGGAGTGTAGGGATCAGACCCTCTTTACATGTAATCATGTAATAGCTTGTACAGTAGCCACTGTGTTTTACATGCATTTGTACAAGTTTTCTTTCATGTGGTGGTTTTAGGTGACATTTGGACCTCTCTTTGATGACAAACTTGTGTGGATGCAGCAGTGAATCATTGGAACACTGCACATTCGTGAGTGTTTCCTTAGCAAAACAGAATGTAGCACCACCTGACCAGCTAGAGACCCCCTGACCAGCTAGAGACTCCCTGACTGCTGAGAAAGAGACCCCCTGACTGCTGAACTGAGGTGACTTCACCAGTGGCATGATACAGTGAAACCTCACAGGACCATTAACATGGATGTGGAAAATAGTACTTCCTCTCAACTAGTAGTTTCAAAACACAGCACCAGTCAGGTAGGCCACAGACTCATACACTACCTGAGTCTACTCTAACAGGCAGCAGTACAGGAAACAGCAGGGAGAGAGGTCACACATAGTACAATGAGACCCATTCAACCAACCAATGGAAGTGCATGCATACTCACAGCTTCATTGCACTCTACAGACGGGACTGTATCCACACACACACACAACCTCAGTGTGACCATCATAAGTAAATTCCAGACCCATACAACCACCCAATGGAAGTACACATGTATGTTGTAGCTTCTCAGAGCCCTCTACAGCTCTCCCTAACAGGACTCTATACCAGGGCCTCAGAACCTTCAATGTCAATATACTGTATGCATTATAGACACCAATTGACAGAGAGAGAAAAAGAGCACAAACACAAAAAGGACAGCCCTCCCTGGTAGTAGGTCTCGTGCATACTTTCTCCACTCACTTATAGGAATTGTTTTTCACCTTCCGTTTCTTAGATAACTTTCCTTTAGAGCCAGTGCTTACACCCAACAATACCAGATGGGGACAGATTGCATGTTTGCTGTGTTCTGGTAGGTATGAGTATGCCTATTATAGCAGTGGACAAGGGCTGGGTCTATCCCGGTATTACTGACACAATCACCATACTGTATGCATTCAAACACTTTCCCCGGCATTATCTTAGGTACGTATGTATGTACTTCCCTCGCCGAAATGCTAATCAGATGCACCGGAAATGAAATTCACATTGGCATAATAGGCATATACTACGCCTATTACAAAGTCTTCACTGCATAACGTTTGGTTTAGTCATAGGTGCCAGCAATCATTAATCTGAAAGATACCACCCTTTGCTGAGTCAGATTGGTTTAACACTGGGATACGTAGCCACATGTAAGCAACAACAGCAAGGTCACAGTGAAAAAAGAGCTGCTCTGGAAATCCCACAGCACTCTGCAGTCAAGGCAGAGCACTCTGACACCTGAGCTACAAGGACAGCTTTAGCAGGTAGAGGTGGCTCAACACAATACATCACAAGACAAAAGAAAACCTCAATGACAGTGCTATGGGGGCACTAATGTACACTCACTAGTGAAAATTTGCACAGGCATGTAGACTATGATTGATAATATGCAGATAATGCAGAGATAAAAATCAGTGGTCTCTCCCCCATATAATAGGCATTATTGTGTGTAATAGAGATTCATCAGAGAAAGAATGTGGAACACACAGCAATAAACCAGAGAGGTGTACACTTTAGACCCTGAACTAGTAGATTTACACTATATAGTAATATTGACCGTGACTTATAGGGGGAGGGTGGGGCAACTGTACGTCAACCATACATACATATGTTCATGGCTTATGACTTGAAAGATGCTTGCCAGGCTGACAAGTTTCTTAATGAAATGATTAGCAACCAAAATTCATACGAATTCCAAAAAATTTCCTCACAAGAATATCCCACTGCAGTACGTGCACACACTCAAAAGCTAAGTATGAGCACACCCACCAATGTAAGCCAATAATGTAAGGCACACTGTGTGTGGACATGACATGATGTAATGAATGTAGCCCAGTGTGTTTGGTGTGAAGGGACGAGACAAAGGGTTCCCATTGAGGAGCGACTGCTGTTGCAGTAACCTACTGTTGGCACACACCTTTCTCCCTGTCTCAATGAACTGACATACAAATATGGGACACCGGAAAACTCTTTGCTTGTTTTCTCATGAGCCACACTACATAGGCGTGATGTTATGATTACGTTGCCTGAGGAAATGGACACAGTTTATCACCGTTCTGTCAACTTGCGGCAGTCTCGGTTGGTAAACACAACCACTGGTTCCAATGGGATTTTATATTGACTTGCTATGATTCCCATGCACTAAGCCTAAAGAGGATTACTGGAAAGATGAATCTTCAAGTGAGAGCAGTTCAAGTGCTGGCATGCAAACAATTTGGTGTGCCAGAGTATACTCACAGTAAATCACTCCATTATCCTCAATAAACAAATGCATGTGAAACCACATGATACTGCGGCACTCGTGCATGCAGCACCCACTATTTCAGGGGCATGTATATACTGATGTCGTCCAGTGGGTGTTGTTGTAAACTGATCAGCTACACCCCCATACTTATACTGCAGCATCCTAACAACAGTGATGCAATGGTTTGGGCAAGGCACAGTGTGGGCTTTGCAGCTGCAATTATGCCAATTAATAGACCATTGCTATTGGGTGTTTGTTGGTGTGGAGTTGTTTGAGCAAAGATATTCAAAGTCAACAGCAATGCTCATCTGAGGAACATTAGCTCTGTATATAGTGGATTCACACTTTGTACTGTGCAAACGCAGAGAGAGCTGTCCAGAGGGACTGCAGTGGGGGCTTCTGTATGTACACTAGGGTGAGTGGCTGAATACCCACTCAGTCTTTCAACCCACTCATCTCTGTCCAATCTTCATAAAGAGGCACACAGTGGGAGAATGATGTGTTATAAGTGGGTGTCAGATTTTAGCTGATGGGATAATAAAACTGTGCCAAACTTTGCAAAAGACCTGTAAGTAGTACCATTTGTGTCTCTTTGTGCACATGTCTGTGTGGTAGGCCTACATGGCACAGAAGACAAGGCAGCTCTGCGCACTAGTATACCAGCTATTGAATGCTAATAGTAAAACCTCGAGACAGCTGCTTGTTCATGCATTTCGAAACAATTAATTGCTGGTCTTGGGCTTGTCCATTCAATGACTGTTGGAAGCCAACAGCCATGTGCATACACAGCAGGAGGATTCCAGGAGTATAGCTGTTGGCTACATGCTGCCCCCTGGGCACTAGCAGGGAACTGCGAAACTTTGGACCAGCAACCCGCAGACAGGGTGCAGAGTTTTAGACACTTTCTTGCTATACTAAACTGGAGGTAAACAAACGATGGATCCCTTACGGTTGCGGAATAACTAATGGATGAAAAACCGGATCAAACGAACCACCAAGAATGCTGGAGGCCGGTATTATTGTGGCTAACCTTCCTGCAATGATGTGCGAGCGAGCAACAGCAGCAGCCAGATAGGCCAGAGACAACAGGCTGGATTCCTTCTCTTGATATTCATCTTACAGGCAGAACTATTCCCTTACTGCTCTTCACAGAACTTTTCAGCGTATTATAGGTGGAAAACAGCGTGAGTTCGCACATGCGGTGTTTTGCAACATCCTGCCACCCACTTCCGTTTCCGTCATGCATTAACTGGAATCTGCAGTGATTGCATGCTATTGCCTTTTGTGCATTCGTCGGCTTTGATCACACACCGCCATTTCCTTTGAGGGACACTCAACGTCCTTATGAAACGCATAGACATCAGTCACCGTATGTAATACCCATGAAATAAGAGTTTGTTGTCCCCCCGGCTCTCTCCCGGATCTACTGTATAATAATGCGCATGCGTTAACATGAAATGCACACGTGAATAAACCGCCACTTTGGCGGGAATTTGTTTGCTGAGCTGGCTCGCCGCCATCATCAACACACGATGGCTACTGCTGGTGCTGGTGCTGGTGTTGTCAAAGAGAAGGCGAATGCCTCTGGCGAGGGCAGGACCTCGTTCGTGGAGGGCTGGGAGTTCATGCAGACGCTGGGCGAGGGAGCGTACGGAGAGTGAGTCTCTCAGTATATACAATATCATAGGCCAAGAGAGCTATGTCTCTCTGTGTGTCTCCCAGAGTGAAGCTGGCGGTGTGTAAGGAGTCCGGAGACTGTGTGGCAGTCAAGATAGTCACAGTCGACGGAGGGAAAGAGGGTCTAACTCACGAGAGCCTGCGGAAAGAGGTCTCCTACCATCAGCACTCTATAATTCTCATAATGACGGAAAGGCTGCGTATAATTCATAAAGGCCTTTGAACTAACAGACTTGTCTGTGATGAATTACTTTCAGCCTTGAACAATTTCTGCCACTCATCTGTGTTGGAAATGTGCCGGGTGAACCTTTCCCTATTTCAGTAAACCGCATGCCTCGGGATTACATTCGCTCTTCACTAGGTCGTTGTGTTAGTGCAAGTATTTCCCCTTTATCAGTTAATACTCATATCCCCGTGTCTCCCGACATTATACAGGTGTGTATCCTAAAGATGCTGCGCCACACGAACGTCATCAAGTTCTTTGGCCAGCGGACGCAGGGCTCCACCTACTACCTCCTCCTGGAGTATGCTGATGGCGGGGAGCTCTTTGACAGAATTGGTGGGCCGGATCTTCAGCTGGCACATCTCTATACTTTACCCACACGAAACCCTTGAGAGAGAGAGAACTAAACTTTTTTCACATTTCAAGGTTTAAGGGTCTTCTGAACATGTGGATGTAGTTGATGGGCACTGGGTGTGCTGCAGAGCGAGCAAACACAGTCTGCAATAGTTTACAGGAAAATTCCCACTCTTCCCTACAGCTGGCTGTATAATATTAGTGGTTTTGGAGAATGTAATTTACTCTATGTACATGTGTAGAACCTGACCACTCATTCACTCTATATGTGTATGTATGTGTATGTGGCTCATGTGCAGAACCTGACCTTGGAATGGAGCCAGGTCTGGCCCACCACTTCTTCCTACAGCTACTGAATGGAGTGGTGAGTACTGCACTCTCTTTCCAGGGGAAAACTACTATCTGTATAATATTGTACTGCTGGTTGATTGTGTGGCTATGAGAACCATCGTGGCGATCATATAGTTGTTGCCTGTTTGCTGGTGCCCTGTAGGAGTACCTGCACAGTAGGGGAGTGGCCCACAGAGATATAAAACCTGAGAACATCCTTCTGGATGGAGTTGGTGAGTGGTTGTGTGTGGTTGTTGTAGGTATGACTGGTGAAGAAGGGTTGTGATTGCAGACACAGTCAAGATATCAGACTTTGGTCTGTCCACGGTGTTCAGACACATGGGGAAGGAGAGGAAACTGAGCAGGAGATGTGGAACTCCACCGTACATTGCTCCAGAGGTGTGTGTGTATATATAGTGGTTCCTGAGCACGTATTTTCACTTGCCATTTGACCGACCTGTACTCTACTACAAAGTGTATTTTGAGAATGCACAACCCAGTTTAAAGCGCCATTGACTGACATGTCTATAATAATGTATATGTAGTTGTATCTACAATGCAACCCACCACCCAGTCAGTCAAAGTCCAGCCTGTCTAATAAAGCCGTTTGAGTAACCTACATAGCTGTGTGCATGCATAGCTACATACTGTATGTACGTACTACATGGAGAGTGTATCACTCCCCTGTAAACTCAAGGGGTGCGTACCCTAAGCTATGTTGCTGTTTGACTAGACTCAGTCTATGTGTTCAGTTCTACCTCATTTGTAACTTCGTGTGGGTCACTGTATACACTGCATCGTGAGAACCCCACCGCCCTGCTTAACAAAGCTTTGCCCCGCCGTCTGACTACTTCCCTAGCCCTATTGGTGTTGTTAATTCCACCAAGTGGGTCTAAATTACCCCTTTCATGCTTAAGGACATGTGTGTCCACATTAGTCCACACACCTGTATTGAGTCTTGTCTGCTCTATCCCTTTGCCGGCATTCACAACAATATTTATTTCTCTCACTGGCTGGCTGGCTGGCTGGCTGGCTATTAGGTGCATGCAGGTCTGGACTACTCTGCAGAGCCTGCTGATATCTGGTCTTGTGGTATAGTACTGGTGGCCATGCTGGCTGGAGGTACATGGAGTAGAGTAAACTGCATCACATTATTGTCACAATAGCATACGAAAAGAACTAGAAAGAAGGACACAATTCGAACCCCCTTCCTTTCCAACCGAACCCACCAAGTTACAAACATACAAGCACACACACACACACATGATCTGTGGGTGTGGTGCATGTAGCTGTGGTATTACAACTTACCCTGAGTAAATAAGTTTGGTTGGGAAAGTAGTGTTTGTGTTTTCTACTACACACACTGCTACTACACCTCATGCCCATGTTTGCACACATTTTATGTTCCTCTGAAAAAGTATTAAGTTGTGTATACTTTGCTCCTGGAGTATAATATTATGGCAAGATGTGTGTAAACAGTAATGCCCACCTGTCTACTGCAGAGTTGCCGTGGGATGCCCCTACCTCTGGGTGTGCCGAATACTGCGAGTGGTGTGCCCAGAACTTCTTCTTTCCCCCCTGGACCAAGATCAGCAACGAACCTCTAGGTATCCAGTCACCCCTTATTACCTGCCGCAACACTAGTATATGACCTCTTACCTTGCAACACTTGGCATGTGGCCTAATCACAGCAACTTGCTGTGTTTGTAGCTGTGCTACACGTGTCTGCCACTAAAAGCCCTTTTGGTCCCCACGTGTTATGTTCAGTGTTACAGAAGTACAGGTATATATACAGTCTACCTCGTGTTCCTAATTCGTGACTTTACTGCTCCTAATGGTGTGGTAAATGACGGTCTGTGTTTTGCTTGCTCTGTGTGTGTGTGTGTTTGTGTGTGTAGCTCTACTGAAGAAGGTTTTGAGACACGCTCCGTCCAAGAGGTACACCATGGACCAGATCAAGAGCCACGTGTGGTCCAGGAAGTGAGTCCTCTCTCTATCGACACATTATTCCACGTGCATCTACATACATACTAAAATTTGTAGCTGGGTGACTTGCAGGGAAAACACGACAGGTTTTCTGTGCCATGGTACAGAGTTTGGCGGTTTGCTTTGCATTGTGTTGTGTTGTATCGTAGACTTATACGTTTGCATTAACATAAGTGAAAGTGTACCTCTGTCTTCTGCTGAGCTGCCTTGGTATATACAGTAGCTCAGTGGGTGGCTAGAGTGAGATTATCATAAATGTAGACTGAGTTCAGTGTGGCAACTTGGCATGTACAACACATTATAAAACTAACTCGGGAATGATCTAAAACTCACTGCTGGTCATGACTGTATGTATGTCACAGGACGTATGCAGTGGTGGACCAGGTGGCAGAGGAGGGCGTGTCTCCCACCAGCTCTCGCCACGGCAGACACTCTTCCAGACTCGTCATTGACAGCTCTCCCAGATATGCCGACAGAGACAACAGGTCTCAATATACCACATAGCTGTATACATACAGTGAACCTCAGACTAAAGGACACCTCTCTATGAAGCATACTCTGTTCTGTCCCGTACTAGTACATTAGGGTATAATGGACGTCTGTAAATAAGACATTTTCAATGTCCAGGAGGTGTCTCTTTTTCAGATGTTCCCACTCTTTGGGCTAATAGCTTTCTAGAGTATGTTTTGTTCCCTTCGCAATGAAGTATATAGTAGATACTTGCAAACCAACAACATTGTATTAAAGGGCTTAAATTCTTTGTGTGCAGTTCCCATGTATACAGATGACCTCGCAAAGTTCTTGTGTAATTCTCCATATCTTCTTTCCGACTTGTCTCCTGATTGTTACATACTGTTGCTGCCCTCAGGTCCTCTGATTGGCAGTAATTTCACTAATGTCGTGTACTAATGCGACATGATTCCCCCGCCATACACAGACAATGAAGCACCATTCTAGATACGTGGTGCCATAATTATGCCCCATACAGTGGTGCACTATGGTTCAATTTGACCCTGCATGCATCTTCTCACTCCCTATACACCTCCACCCGCCACCTGTGCCCACAGTGATATACCGTCGTCTCTGCCTGTGGGTAGGGAGGGGGTGGACGGCGGAGGAGGAGGAGAAGTGGGTGTGGCGGTCGAGAGTTTCACTCAGCCCTCTCGCTACGACGAGCTGGTCATCAGTACACAAGTCCCCTGCACTCCTGGTGCAACTGAGGTACGTATTGTGTGGGGATGGCCCTGAGCACCTAGTAGAACTGAAACAAGGGGGTGGTTGACACACAGCTACAGGAAACCACTATCACTATGTGTAGACTGTTGGTGTGTGGATAAGGGTGTAGTTTGTGTGTCTTTGTTGTAGCATTCCTTCCTTCTTTTGTGCTTAAACCATCCTCCTACAATTGGCATATGTGGTGTAGTGTGTACATATGTATAAGTACATACATCTGTATAGGTCACAAATCTGTGCTACGTTCTACTATGCGTCTTAATCAGTAGTAATTTGTGGGTGACTTCCTGAACGTGGGGTAGCGAAACACAACATCCCTATTTTGGTAGTGCCCCTAAGCCATTTTTCTCTATCAGAGGGTTTTACAGGGGGAAGACCCTGGATATCTCCCTAGTAATTCACTGTGGGAATACTATATCAGAATGAGTATTCAAGCTTCGTGATGATGTGTACGATTAAAATCCTGTTATATATATACCCTGTTTGAAAGGAGACTATTTTGCAAAGGTCCGTACAGGACAGACAAGTCAACCTGTGATATAAGGTTTCCTGGGTTTTTTCTTTGTTTAAGACATCACGAATAGTGCTAGACCGTTTGCAAAGTGATCATCGTTTCATATAGTTATGACCTGTACATGTGTCAATGTGTGTGATCCCCAGACGCCAGTCCAGAGACTGACGCTGCGACTGACCAGGTTCTACACGGCCTCTCCCTGCCAGAAGGTGTGGACACGGCTCCAGCAGGTCATGAAGAAGTTCTCCTACGACGTCAGAATCAGCCCCGACAAGGTCTGTGGCCTATACATACATACAGTGTTGTACTTTACTTCTGTGTATAATTGTGCATAATACCGTTCCATGAGTCACTGTAACATTTTGCTCTTTTGTACGATTGTCATAATTGGCAGGAGTTAGCTAATTTACAAGCGTTTTATAGCTGAATTACGAGGTCCATTTCATGCGAATTACTTAGGGGATTTCAGCGAGTTTGCTCGAACTACAGTCTTGCCCCCCATACTTTGCGCGCAATTCTCCCCCAGTTTTTATCAGTTTAAACAAGATGTTGTTCACTGGCAGGTGAGTCTGGTGGTGTCCACGACTGACAAACGTTCGCAGCCGCTGGTGTTCAAGGCCTCAATCTACGGTCTGCGATCAGACCTTCTCCTGGTGGACTTTAGGAGATCAAGTGTAAGTCACTCCCCCCAACTATAATTATACTGCAGTGGTGGTTCCACAGTGGATGTGTATATTATATGTGGTTACATAAACCCCGAGGTAAGAAAATGACCTGTGTTTATAATATTATACTGACACTGTTTGCATGTTTGAGACATCTGTAAAGTGATTCTGTTGCCATGAGTATGCACTCCAGTTGTATATAACGTGTTACGATGAGGTGTGTGTGCTCATGATAGGGAGATGGAATAGAGTTCAAGAAGATATTCAAGAAAGTCCGTGACCAGTGCCAGGACATAATCGTGAAACCCCCATAATTAAGATGGCATTATGTATATAGACGTCAAAAGTTTTGTGTGAACAAACAAGAGATTCATTGTTATTTTTTCTCATGATTTCCCGTCTGATTCAGTCCCACAATTGTATCACTCATTATTCCGTCATCCAATTACAAAATGCTTTTATTTCCCCCTCTCTATTGTTATGTAGCACAGAATGGTCCCTTTTATTGTGGTCCATGCATAATGCAATCCATGCTTATCATGAATAATCGGAGAGTTTATTATCATTAAGCACGTGAGCGAGCTCCTTGACTGGCCATCGAGTCTGGAGAACTGGCAGAAGTATAAAACCTTACTCTCTGTCAACGTACAAGGAAAACTATATAGCAGCCACTTTCCCATGCGATCAAACTGCATAATTGCTGCAAACGTAAGGAAAAGTTGTTGCTTTTGTTTGTGCGTGTTTGTTTTGACTCAAACTGTGAAAAATACTCGGTAATTAAATCAGGTTTGAAAGCCTACCCCCCACTAAGGGTATAAACTCAGGCCTGTTGTAATCACTCAATCAATATCAAAGCATGACGTATCAAACAATGCGTGGTACTGATGTGGCTGTCACAGTCTGTCTATTGCGACACTCTGGGTCACGGCCTCCGCTGGAAGAACCAGCCAGGGAAGGCCCCGGGGATGGAGAATCCGGGACTGGGGGAGGTGGAGTTGACAGGTGGCTCAAACACCACAAATGCCTTCCTCCTGCTCACTAGCTGTGCTATCAGACACATCTGGAGATGGTCTGGGTAGACCATCTGCAATGGGTAGAATACCTTTACTAACAGCTCATGCTTTTATGGGTGGAAAATGAATAACCACGTGCATGGCTTATATACTTAGGTCGGACCAGCAAGCATGCACAAGCTGATGCACGATGACATACTACAGTCCCTATTTTGGGGTATCATTCCTGTAATTCGGAAACTCTTTTTTAAACGATTCTGCAACTCACAGACAAATCTGGCAGTCCATGTTACATGCATGTGACATATACACCCATTCCCCAATCAACACACCTGGAATCTAAGTGGTTCCTTGTAGGCCAGAATAAGACTCCCACCAAAGGTAACAAAGGGGCTGCGCAAAAGGAGTCTGTTCCGTGACGTCCGGACCTGTGCCTCAAATGGTCCAAAATCATACACACCCTCGTACACCTGTGAAACAACACAGACTCTATGCACAAAGTGATCTTAGGTGCTCAGAAATCCCATATATAGGAGGCACTGAAAGTCTGGGGTGAAGTCACAGATACACAGCAATCATGACCCAATGTCACACGAGACTGAAAACAGCTACGTATATGATTATATAAACCTCGGGATCAGGTGGGTAAGGGTAGGGTGGCTGGACGGTCATGAGGTACTCCACAAACGCCGGTATGAGGTAGTCGTATGCCTCGTTGGAAGCACCAAACTCATCATAAGCACCAGACCACAACATGTTTAGACCTGCACATAAACCCAAAAATTATTATATAGAATCACAGCTGTAGTTTAGCAACCACTTTGACTTTAACATAACTACTGTCTTGCAGATATAAATGCCAAACCAGTTATGCATCAATGCTGCAACAGTACTGTAGGTTTGTAACATACCCAACTGGAGCTCTGGAACAAAGGACATGATGGAGGAATGTCCAGGCACGTTCCCTCCCTTTCTGAGGACAGTGTAGTTGGCCTGGAACCTGATCTCCCAGGGAGTCCCAAACCCAGTCCGCTGGTCTCTGTTCACATACACTGAAGATGCAAGCAAACAGTAATACATTACGATGGTGTACCGATTTTCAGTTGTTGAGAGTAATAAATAGTGTGTAGGGGGACTAACCCTGCAGTTGCATCTCTCTGCGTGTGTCTCCTGACATCACCTCAGGATGGACTGGATCACTACCCTCTTCTCCGTTTGCGCTAGTGAAGAAAGCGACCATCTGTAGGTGGAATATTAGGTATATATATAGCACCATATATGGTAGACGCTGAGACTTGCTGAGATGAGAAAGAAGCTAAGACACCGCACAAAAGGTTCGAGTACAGGAGTGCATTTTTGCCACTTGTAAATAGAAGCACTGACTTTGTTGAGGTCAGCAGTGGTAGAGTACATCTGGCCTGTGGGGCCAATCCAGCCCAGGTCAATTAGAGGGGCCTCCTCAGACCCCTGCCCACCTACTGCTGGTATCCAATAGCCCACTGCCATCTTCTCCACTACACTGTCGGTGATACAAGGACACTTATACAATGTCAATATGAAACTGTAGACACATCTGTATAGCATCTGCAAAGGTTTTCTTGGCAATTTTTTTGGTTTGTCACTGAAACAAGTTTCCACTATCTTGGTTGCAATTTAATAAAATGTCGGTACTAACCACAAAGTAGCTTCACACGAATTAATAATTGCAGCATAATATACCTTTCAGTCATGTTGAAGCCGGTGTTAGTGAGCTCCAACGGCTCCAGCATGTTCTGAAATACATACTCCTCATATGTCATACTGGGGAAGAAGTGCCCCACCAGACAGTGACCCAGCAAGCTGAAACCTAGATTACTGAGAGAAAGAAGGAGAGTAATTGGCAGCAGGTCAGACACAAAGTAAGAAAAGATAGAAGCAAATGAGGTGTAAGGAAACTGCCATGATTATTGCCATAAAGTTTTTCCTCACCTGTATGAAGGGATGGTCCAGGTCGGGAACATTAGGGATACATCCTGTAGCCTGTCCAGTATCTCATCGGTGGTTTGAGGACAGGCGTTGATGGTTCCGTCCTCAGTGACGACACCTGTACACGGAGCCTCTCTTGGTAGGCCAGACATCTACAACAAAGTCAATTGTTAACTGTTAACTCCAGATTCAATGTAGTATATTATAGCATAATTCAATGTACAGTGTGCTGGCCAAGCAGTGCTGCATCACAGACATCTAGATCATACCAGCAGATCAGATGCTGCAGATTATGCAGCTGCCAAGTGTAAAGACAGATGGTGGTGGACACTACAAGAATGGTGTTACTATGACCTGGATCATTATCAGTACTAGAAGGTCAGCTATTATGATCAAGGTCAGCACAATAATAACATAGACATTATTTTAGTAGACTATCACTGCGAAAACCTGTGAAGCAATCTGACGGAGAGTGATGTTCCTGGAGTTGAAGGGGTTAAGCATGGAGAAACGAGGGCAGTAGTCAGAGAGAGGGTCATCCAGTGACTTGACCAGACCTCTGTCATACAACTGGTACATCACTAGGGCCTGCAGCAAGGCGAAATAATTATTACTTATGGCCCAATACCATTAGTGTTGCACACACATACAGAAAAGACTTTCGAGATGCTCCCAATCCTAAAGATGGTGTCGTGGTCTGGAGGGCCAGATGACTCTGCTTTGCTCTTTACTCCGTATCCCCTAGCCCAGATCTCGGAGCCCATGTACACAGACTGACTGACACTGCAGGCTGCAAGACAAGAATTGTGTAGTTAGAACAGAAGAAGAGGACTCTATAAGAATGTCTATTGTACCACAGTGTCGGTGTTGATGGTGGCCTTGATCTGGTTCTCCAGTCTAGAGAGGGCAGTCTGGATGACGGGAGGCAGGGGATCAGGGAGGGGGACTGGGAAGGGGTGGGGAGGACAGTTTGGCTCCATTTCAACTCTCTCGGCTCCGAAAGTGTCAGGGACCGTAGGCAGTGGAAAGTCATACACCCTCTATGCAGTTAATGTGTGCAACAATAATGTTCGTAGCTAGCTGTAGTTGAGGAAGAGCTCACCATCATGTCCAAGTCGCGTCGGGTTAGCTCACGTGAAAATGAGCAAGATACCGCCAGTAGGGCAAAGAAGATCAGGAAAATCATGCTTAGCTTCCAGTCAGTTAGTTGCAACGTTCTTCACTCTTGCACCTGCACTCACTGCGCCGTCAACAATGCGCATGCGTGTAATAAAACCGGAAGCTGCAAGCCAGGATCGATCTATGAAGCATTAATATTACGCGCTTGCGCGTCGTGGCTACACAACAATAATATGTCACTGTTTGCGTTGGAATTCAACCCCAGGAAAGGATCCAGGGATGGTAAACCCTGGGCAGAGGGAGGAGGTGGTAGGTGGCTGGAATACCACAAATGCCCTCCTCTCAGCCAGTAGCTCTGCAGCCAAGCATGGCTGCAAGTTGTCTGGGAAGGAGATCTGGAAAACACACACACACACACAAAGACAGTTATCATAAAAGTAGAGAGTGTTCCTACCACAGTAACACTCTAGGAGACTTGGAGACAACAAAAGTAGGGAGTGCTCCTACCATAAAACACCAGTTGACATTATAGCTACCTGGAATCTCAGAGGCTCCTTGTAGGCCAGGACAGCAGCCCCACCACTTCCATCCAGCAGCAGCTGATTCTTTTCACTCCTCACCTCCAACTCTGTGTCTCGATACACATAGACCCCTTCATACTCCTATACAGCCACCCAGGTGTATTAAGTAACTGGTAGTGATACACATAATCCACAAGCCTTGGGGTTGGGAGGATAAGGATAGGGAGGCTGGGCAGTCAGTAAGTACTCCACAAATGCTGGTATGATTATATCATAAGCAGAGTTTGACGTGAAGAACTCATCTATACTGCCTGACCATAGTATGTTTAGACCTGCAAAGATGGGAAGGAGATGGATCCTATTGTTAACTAATGAAACAAAACTAGCCATACCCAACTTGAGTTCGGGGATGTAAGAGAAAAGTGCAGAATATCCATCGATGTTCCCTCCCTTTCTGAGGACAGTGTAGTTGGCCTGGAACCGGATCTCCCAGGGAGTCCCAAACCCAGTCCGCTGGTCTCTGTTCACATACACTGCAGCAAATGATACCAATATGCGTTATAGAGCAGTTTGTAGTATGAACTAACTAACCCTGCAGCTGTATCTCTCTGCGCAAGTCTCCGGAAAGCACCTCAGGATGGACAGGACTACTGCCATTCTCCCCATCAGCACTGGTGAAGAAAGCTGCCAGCTATATCAGTCAAACATCATGCAACAATGTGAGGGAAAAGTCGGCCGGTCATACGGTGTTGAGGTCAGCAGTGGTGGAGAACATCTGACCAGCTGGACTCTCCCAACCAAGGTCATAGAGTGGAGCGACAGATCCATCCGGCTCATAGCCAACCGCCATCTTGGACTTCACACTGCGGCAGAGGCAACCATGCATTAACATTCAACACTTATACTAAACAGAGTAACTAAAGTCCAGTTTCAGGTATTATAGCTCCAGGAGACCTTTAAAAATTTCCACCATAACTGAGTTGCAGCTAAGTAGATGAGCAAGCATTAACGTCATTATAGCACTGCCATTTTCTGCTTCTGGGTGAAAGGGATAGCTACACACTTGTCAGTGATGTTGAAGCCTGTGTTGGTGAGTTGGAGTGGCTGGAGTATGTTCTTGATGACATAGTCCTCATAAGTCATCCCAGGGAACACACCCTCAACCAGACATTGACCGAGCAATGCAAAACCAAGATTACTGCAAGAAGAAAGAGAGACTGAAGCATAAAGCCAAAGAGTCATAAGGTGAAACTAGCTACCTGTAAGAGGGTACAGTCCAGGTTGGGAATATGAGAGACTCATTACTCAGACTGGCCAGTATCTCATCAGTGGTGAGGGGACAAATGTTCACTCCATCTCTGACCTCACGTGCAGCAGGTTCCACGCAGGGTGCCTCCCTTGGGAGACCTGACATCTGCATCGACAGAAAATGTATCAACCAATTGCACTGAATTCTTGGCCAAATGTGCTTTCCCTCTGTCACTAAGTTTTATTTTCTTTCGCTAGCTATATAGCTATACAGAAAATTACACAGTTTTTATCAAGACAGGATCCACTAGCATGTATGTATTATTATAAATCCACCAATTTTACTGAATTCTTGGCTATGTGCTTAATTTTTCTTTATATTTTACTAGACACGCATAGCATAGTATTAATTTATCATGACAAGGTCCATTACTCTAAAGTCTATCAAAACTTCATACCATAAATGAACGTGTACTGTATATACACCTCGTGACCTGTGAAGCAATCTGGCGGAGAGTGATGTTCCTGGAGTTGAAGGGGTTAAGCATGGAGAACCGAGGGCAGTAGTCAGAGAGAGGGTCATCCAGTGACTTCACCAGACCTCTGTCATACAACTGGTACATCACTAGGGCCTGGAGCAAATAATAGGGCGATACACTGGGTTAACTAAAGAAAAGATCTCTAGCAACTTCTCAAAATTGTCAATTAGCACCGCTATTTGTAAAGTCAAAACACACAAACATACAGCAAAAACTTTTGAGACGCTCCCAATCCTAAAGATTGTGTGATGATCTGGAGGAGTAGATGGCCCCGTCTTGCTCTTTACTCCAAATCCCTTACTCCAAATCTCAGAGCCCATGTACACCAGACTGGCAGAGATTCCGGGCTGTAAGCGGAATAAGAAAGAGGAATGAGCTATACGTAGCAAATTTGGACAGGGGATGCTAACCACACTGGTGGTGTTGAGAGAGCCATCGATGAGCTGCTCGAGACGAGAGAAGCTTGTTTGAATGATAGGTGGGAGCGGAGAAGAGAGAGGGACAGGGATAGGGTGGGGTGGACAGTTTGGGTCTGATGCTCCAAACGACAGGAGAAATCGAAATCGTGCAGTTTCTGCATTCAAAAACATCACGGTTCAGCAGGGGCCATCCGTTGAATACTCACAGCTTCAAAGCTCCTTCTCACTGGGAAAGCCAGTGAGTTCCCTGCTACCAGCACCAGGAAAACAAGCAAAATCTTCCCTGCTGACTCCATTGCACCAGACACTGAAAAATAATGAAAAGCACTAAAGTGCAAACCCTCGGCGAACTATACGCATGTGCGGTGCCGCTAAATGGATGGGCTAGGCCAGCTATTAGTGGTCTCCCGCTAGTAGCCCGCGGAGAGTCTGACACGGGCTAGCTACGGTATTAGATTGCATTCGCGGTGGTTCTTGTGCGCGTGCCTCTAAGATCGAGGTCACGCGTTGATCGCGTCTAATATACGCATGCGCACTGCTTATTGATGGGTTGGGCCACGCAACGCGGTCCACGACTGTGCCAGTTTGTCGCTCTCGAACGCAGTCGTTTCACGAAAATCGCCCTTTTTTTTCAGGCTCATGTAGTACTGAAGCCGCTGGTATCGCTAATGGGCGGCCTCGTAGCCTGTAGTTTCAGAATAAGCGTCGACACACACACACACACACACACACACACACACAGACAGACAAACCAACCCTCGCTGCGCATGCGCGCCGAGGGTTAATAACTGCCGCAGCGAGCGAGCGCGCGCGTCTGCGCCCCGAAGTATACCAATGCGCACTCGTAAAATTTTCATAGCACTAACCTACTGCCAATATTAGCTACAGAGAGTCTTCAGCTTTAGAGTCAAGTAATAGCTAATGTTATTATCCGGTGAAGGCAGTCAGGAGGGAGAGAGCCAAGAGAGCCACCGAGGCCCTCAGGACCATCCCACCATCTTCAACTGCTCCAATCCTCTCACAGCACGTGGGAGGAGTGAACTCTGAGCATTGGTCTGGAGCCATGTACGAACATCCAACTTTTGGTAGCTTTGTTGTCTGGAAAACATAGTTTTCCTGCAACAAAACAAGTGTGCATGAAAATCTGTTAGTGGGAGGCGCATTTTCTTGTTAACTCACAAAGTCTACACCACAGAGTACGTTTTGAGTAGCATTATCGAGCATTTTCTGGAAAGTGGTCTTCAGATTGTCATCCCAGTCAATGGCATTCATGCCGTCCACATATTCCACCTCTCCACTCAGTATCTGCTGGCCTGGCCTGAGTAAAGGTTTTACGAAGTGCCTTAGTGTTAATGTATTATATACAACACATTTTGATTAGTCTTATGGCAGCGGGAGGATAAAAATGAAACTCACCGAGTTGTTCTGAGAAAGTCATGATAATCTGATTCAGTGATTTGCGACACGGAAAACCCGAGGTCAATTCGAGGGTAGTACACGAAGGACGAAATACACATCTCCTCTCGTGTACCAAGTCCTCCCTTCAATCAATTCAGCAATTAGCTAATATTCAACTCCAACAAGGGTTTACTTACAAATGTGACTTTATCATTTCCTGCAGTCCTGTAAAAGCATTTAACCTGAACAATATCGCCCTGTATAATGAATATTGTAAGCAAGTTAAAACAGCAATATGTATAGGCGGCGAGGAGATACTCCGAGGCTGTTGACTATACCAGACGAGGGCGTAGCAGGAGGCCGGTATAGTAACAGCCGAGGAGGATTTCCTGTACGCGCCGAGACGCCTGGCGTTAACTGATTTGTAAATGCTGAATTTCTGCTGTGTCATTCTGCACTAATGCACTAATAGACTGTTGTGTAAACTTTGGAAGCCAGACAATTTGCACTACGCCTAGCGCTAGATGTTGTGATAAGGACCAGTGCAGCCCGCAGCCCACAGCTCAGAATACAGCTAGCACAGGGTTGTTTGAAGTTGGACTACAAGTTCTTTAGTAGCTATATACAAAAGACTTACACGTTTGACCAGTACTTCATGCCTCAGGTGAGTAAACTGTTGGTAGTCGAAATCATACTTCAAGTTCTCATCAATTGGCTCCAGTTCCTCGTACACGCCACACTCAGAGTTGTAGCGGATGTGCTGGAGACTCAGTCCATGACCTGAGGGGTGGTATATGTAGTACATGTACATCTTTAAGGGTAAAACATAGAGCCCACTGGAAAGAACTCACCAGCAACATGTGTGTGAAAGAAATTTGCAAACACATGAATGCCACCCTCAGGTATAAACTGCAGATAAGAGAGTCGTGAAGCTAAATTACTCCGGTTCGGAGAGAAGGCTTACATCCTTTGAGCATTGTTCAGTCAAGAGACCTGTGGATATGAAGTTCTGGGAATTTGGAGGAATCACATGGTACGGATGAACAAAGTGTCCGACTGTGAGTAATCCAGCATCATGTTCTCTTGGAGTCTTAGTGTACCATAGTCTCAAGCCAGAACTGTCTGGAGTACCTGTCGAAAAACATTGCTTGTCGATAAAGTTAGGCTTGTGAAAAAAGACTTCACCTTCGATTTCATGAGGGTTGTCATAGTGTAACTCAATCATGATGTATCCTTCACCTCCAAATGGATAGGCCACATTGTCAGGATACACAAACTCCTGTGGACATATCTCGTATCTGTAATCTCGTGTTATTCCCTATTATATTGAACTATAAAAAGGACCGAGGGCAATAGCTGTCTCTAACAAAAAGGTTTCCTAGCTGCCTCTACTGAGCAATAATATTGATTGTGTGCAAGATATGATTTAAATATATATCTCATCTATACTCTCCCTCAAGCAAACTCAATCCACTGACCTCTCCTCCGACTGCCCATGCAGCGAGGTAGGTCCCTCCTCGACACTGCTGGACCTGAACCGCAACGTTGCCGTTCTCACAGTCGTGTCCGTTTCCAACGTGAGAGTCATTGAGACCAGAGCACATGTACACCACAAGATGGTGGACGTGAGCCTCGTTGCCTTGTGTAACTAGCGGTCCAAACTGAGGGGGGAAACATTCATTGCTCAACCGATGCAAAGACTGTGGTTATGATTCTGGGAACACTACGTAAGGGTTAGTCACCTACAAGAGGTGTCTTCGAAGTTTTGACAACCGAAGCAGGTGTAGATAATACCCGATTATCCAACCTGCTGAGGTTGTCAAAACTGAGAAACCACTTGTGGTGACTAATTAGAACTCTTTTAGACCAAGATAATTACTATAGCAACCTGCAGCGCCTCAACTTGCGCAATGCACCAGCCTGCGCAGCTACTGAACGATGCTCGTTCTGACAGTCAGTCTGCAGTCTCTTAGTTCTATTGTGCACTATGGATGTTGCTCCTGACGGGTGGTGGAACGAGGACGATCTGGAGAGCCGCGAGGTCGTCGCGCCAGCCGACAGCACTTCCACTGAAGACAGCACCGTGAACTGAGAAGATCGTATCTTACTTGCATCACAGCAGTATGAAGATGAGGCTAGTTCTATGACTCCAGATGCTGTAGAGTCAAGACTCGAGTTTGCAGAGCGGTCGTATCTGGTTTGCTCGACTGAGGCAGAGCGTGGCTCAACTTATCGACCATTCATTGCGGACTACTGCTGCAGCAACACGTTTATTTGCAGCTGGAATGGACGAACAGTTGATTATGCTTCGGACCGGTCATCGTAGTGCAACAGGCGTGAGATCATACAAGCGCACGACAAGCACACTTAAAAAGCAAACATCCAGTGTTCTAAATGACTGTACGAATGTGAATGTCACCAATATTGATGCCGATGAGTCATTGCCTAAAAAGGATAAGGAGGCAGGGACTATTGTAGATTCTAAGGCCATTTCAAAGGCTGGTCATTTCAGTTGTTCATCAAGTATCACACTTAATTTTCATGAGTTTAATTTCACACTTTCCAGGAACTTGTACATATTATAATATGTAAAATGTCACTGAACACTCTAAAATGTAAAGTATCTACAAGTGTCTTAGCTCCACTAAGACACCTCAGGTGTCTTACCTAACCACAGCTGTCGGGTTACTTAGCTGTTTTGAGTACTCATAGTAGCTGATAACATCAAAGCTTCCGATTCATGAATTATTAATGAGTTGTCTTATATGCAGTGAATGCCAGTGATGCCTTAACTTGATTGTAGTATATACCACCTCAACTATATCAATGCACCTTAGTGATGTATCCTGTCTGGGTACGTAGGTCTTCTGGCATTTTTGACACAGAGCACCAGTAGGTAGTTTCGTTTTTTGGAATCACAACCTGAAAAGAGAAGTAAACCAATAGGATAACACAGGGAAGCAGGGCGAACTAGCATCATGGGGAGTCAATGCATACAGCCAATAGTGAGTCCAGTGTACTAAGCATTAGGCTAAGGCTAACTCATACACAAATGACTTGTTCTAAAAACAAATCCAATAATAAAACTCTGATAATGTAGTTCAACTAACAATTGTCAACTTTTGATGTCAAATACCCCATGTTCCTGGGGATCAAGGAGCATCTCTCTCAACAAACAACAACGTTGGGTGCTGGTAGTGTCGGCTAAAACGCGGCGAGGTTTGTAGCTGGGCAGTGCGTCATCGACGGAGCCAGTGGCACAGTGCCTGCTGTACACAGGTAGTTGCATTAGCGGTCGATCAGAGCAATTGCTTGGTGTTTCATGAGGTTCAAGGAGCACTTCCGAGCAGCGTGTAGACCACCCTACGGGTCCGACAGTCATGTGATTCCATACGTAAGCCTGCCTACTCAGTAAGAACGAGCCTTCAAAAATACACAATCACCAATTCTATAGCAATAGCACTGATATATACAAAGCCAAAAATGACATATTATAGCTCCCACTCTCCACAACATATTAACTCCTCTCACTGATATTTAACGTAATATCCTCCTCCAAACGATGTCTCAAGGACTATATTAAATCATTGTCACAGTGAAACTAATGGACATTGTTCTGTGAAACACTTGGCATATGTCAAGTCTAGAAGCATTGTCACAATAGGTAATGAAACGAAACAACATTGTTTGTTTGAATACATCGGTTGTAGGTATGTAAGTGTTGGCATAAATAGCTTTCTCTTCGCATGTGTGTGTCTTGAATACATTGGGTTATGTTTTGTTTCAATGTCTCAGGAATGAAAAGAGGATGAGATTATGAATGATTTCTGTCTCAGTGTACGCACCTTGTTGTGTCCACCATGCACACACACACAACAGGTTGTTTTTAGCTATGTCTGTTTTCTTTGTTGTCGTCATCTGCGCCATAGTACCACGCAGCTAGTTGCGACTCGTTAGCTGTGTTGGCCGAACCAACCTGACACGCTGCGAACAGCGAGAGCTAGCTAGCTAGGAATCGAGACCGAGAATCACGTGACGCGGTCTCCATGTGTTTTGCCTGCCCATGTGCTTATGCGATTATCTCCAGCGTGTAGGGCTCCAGAGCTTAAATATTATCTGTCACATCGCACTTCATGTCAG